CTCAAGTCAAAATAGAGAACTGACTTAGAGAACACTACCACGCGCCTTTGGTTAGATATTCTACCCGCAAAGCAGCAGGGTGAACACAGGAAACCGCGCCCGCTGAAAACAGCTGATCGATTTCGCATTTCTTACACCTTCCGTTTGGTCGGTTACTAAATAGAGGCCCAATCCCCCCCGCGAATTCAACAAGTGTTATGATACAATGCTCCATCGGAAATAAACAAGGAGCAGTGACTTTAATGAGTGGCAAGTCACATCAGTCACGTCGCAGTGTTGTTAAACAGACAGTGCGACTTTTAAAGGAAGAGTGGTTGTCAGACGAAAAGCAACCACATTCTGAAACACGGCCACCGAACCATATGCTGGAACGGGGAAAATCCGGACCACGCAGCTGGCACCAAGAAGAGGTTGTGTGGCAAGCCAGCCCGACTGTTACCGGTTGCGTGGTCGCAAAGTATCTGCACAAGGTAATGGCGTAAAATTTGTGCTTTCTAAGCAAGAGAAACCGGGAACAAACGCTCCGACACCAGATATGCATACTAATCTTATGCTGTCACAAAATTATCGAGACCATCGCGTTCGAAACATTTTTGTTCGTTTACATAAATATTGCGGATACAGCAAGTGTAGTATGCAACCCGAATCGATGAACTACCTGTGATAAATCCAGAGGTAGACATCGAGATACTACATCCCTGTTGGGCATCTCAGCACAAGAATTCTGTGGAAATTAATAGCACCCTAATCAATTTTGTTCAACTTAGTTTCTGGTTGCAACAAACAAGCAAATCGTTTCAGTACAGTGAAACAACTAATATTGCCATAAATACCCGTATCGTTCAGTATGCTTACAAAGTCCGTTATACATTTATACGAATCATACGGAAACATACGGAAACATACAGGTAAACAGAGAAAACGCTGCGTTGGCTGGTAAGTCAGTTTTCGACGTACAGTTGGCAAAACACAAATTCTACTGAAATCACCCAGCAATATTCGATCAATCAATGGCAAAATGGTGGATCATAGTGCTGTTATACAGATAATGATTATTCCAATGCAGCCATTTTGGTGCTTCAAGAAAGCTGACTACATTCTGATGCAGAGGACGATGTCATCCAAGCTGCTGGTTATTTTCCCATCAGATACATCCATCTCGCAGTGCCTAGAAATCGTGAGAAATGCTATAATCTACGTCCATTAAAGCTGGTGCAACTAGACAGCTACATTTGGTACCTACTCAAAAGTCGCAATCAGCTGCTATTTGATTGAACGTAAGGCAAGGATAGTTTCCTTTCTGTTGAGGAGGATAAAGAAAAAGAGGAGTTCTATGCCGAATGGAGAAGATAGCAGCTTTTCGCGAAAGCTTCAGGAAACGACAAAATAGGTGGATCTTTTGAAACGCTGAACTACATACATAGACAAAACCTTGGGGAATCTACACCGGATATTGTGATCTTATTGCGCATCGTTCTAACCTGGGCTATGAGCATTGCCAGCTGTGAGCATACTTTCTCCAAACTCAACCTTGTAAAGAACTACTTTCGATCAGTAATGAGGCAGACTAGACTCACGGATTTGGCAGCCCTCTATGGATAGAGAACTCACCGATGAACTGATCGATAGTTTTGTCGTACGTAAAGCATGAAAATTTTAGTTGTAAATTTCGTGCACGAATATTGTAAGAATACAGATGCCTGTCCTTGAAGCAGCACCATAAAAGTAGCTCACTGAATGTTGTTCTCCGAAACGAAATATTGAAGGGCTGTTCGCAATTTTGAGAGTTTACGGGCTCTAAACTGCCAGTGAGAGGCTGAAATTTAGCCACCGTCATGGATGGCAAAAATAGTTGCTAAGCAACTGAAACTGACCGACCGAAAATTGCATCACAGTTATATGAGGTAAACGGAAACACTATGGTCCAGGGATGAAGGGATTTCATGCGTGATCACTCACATCGTTAGAAAACTGATGTTAGTTTACTTATGGCATAGTGTTGTATGTAACAACCGTGAGATGGCTCAGCTAGTGTTCAAAAAGTGTAAGGTCACCGAAAATATGACATCCAATATCAAATGCAAATTGTGACATAAAGTCTCATGATCCGTATGCTTTAGTTAAAATGAGGGGAGAGTAGACAGGCTAGATGAACAGACGTCGCGGGCCGGATCTGGCCTGCGGATCGCAGGTTAGCGATCCCTTGTCCAAACAGAAATGTTTGTATAAACGATAACCCAGCAAAAGATAAACCATACTCATTTTCCTCTATCACGACTACCGGGACCGTGTGACAGTCTATGGGAATTTGTCCTGAGTTACCACTACAAGTGTGGTGCACTAGGGTTATACTCTTCAATCTGGCGATCGAAACCTTCATATATGATTGTCTCCTGCATAGAAATTCCACCGGGTACCTGGTGGAGGGAAATGAGAAGATTTTATCTTGCACACAAGCTGGCACGGTCGACAGAGTTGAATGCGATTTCCATGCCGAGGAAGACAGCTGCAGTGGATTATCTGTAAGTGTATCTCCACTGCAATCTCTGCCAAATGTGTAGTCCGTGTGTCGTCGAACGGAACTGATTATGTTATAACAGCGGTTGATAGAGCGTAGAAAAAGCCTTAAGTGCACAGGACGATGTACTGACCAAATTGCAAAACACACGATATAGACAAGACAGTCGATAATATAGGTTAAGATAGGCCTCATGCTCGGCGACCTCATACACGCGGACCACAGCAGAATGGTGGATGAGTGAAATTTAAGACCAGAGTACCGAAATGGTTATGTGCTTTTGGGCACCGAATCACCTGACTTAATATATCCGAGATAAGTTGACCAAAGTGCACGCGCAATTCAAGGGGAAAGCAGCTTCTGGTGCGACAATTTGCGGCTCGTACGACATACGCAAACTGCAGTGAGCGTTGAACTAAGGTCCCAATAAAGTTGGGCTATAGGTACACATGCTAATAACTTGGATAGCGGGGCGAATCGGATCGCTGAGGTATCGGATGTTAAGAGCCTTGTTGGAGACCACAGAGTGATAAGTATTCCTCTTCCAACAAAATGCAGACTTCGATTTTCCTGTGATAAGCTGTGACTCGTAGATAATGTCTATGGAAATATTAGAAAGTGAGGTTGCAAAGAGATCACTTTTCGGCAAAGCACAACAGGCAAATATGATTACAAAGTTGACGAGCAAAAGCACAAGCTAATGAAAGCTGAAGTGAAAGAGACTGAACTGGCCCATAGTATTTCCGAAAGAGGAATTAATGTTGGAATCTCAGTATCAAAACTAAGGGAACGGATTTTGCGGTGTAGATTCAACAGGCAGTTCCTATATGATGAGGTCTATTATCGGCAGATCGAGGTTGTTGCGATGGTTTCCCTCCTAGGACCTATTCTCGCAGACGTCTTTCTCGTTAAGCTTGAACGTGGTCCTACTCAAGCCGTTATTGCTGCGCTGGATTTCTACTACCGTTACACAGATGACACGTTTGCTACCTGTGATTCAAACGCTGATGTCGCTAGTTTAATCGATTAACGACGGCGCACACTCATCAATGAGGTTCACCGAAGAAATCGAAAGAGAAGGACAGTTGGCGTTCTTGGAAGTACTACCAAAAAGATGAGAAGATGGTCCTCTTGAGAGAAGTGCCTTCCGGAAGGTACGTGGGTGGGACAATACATGCATTTTCTATGTTTAGTGCTTCTGAGGTAAAGCGTAACTTAGTTCGATGCTTGTATAATCCAGCCTCAAAAATCTGCAGCCCTGAGACTATAGAAAAGGAGAACGCATATTTGAAACGCTGTTTCAAACGGCTACCCTGTCCCCATTATAAAAATGCATGCTAAAATCTGTGAATACAGTGAGCCCGTCATCACAGTTACAAAAAAGAATGTTTTGCACAGTTCCCTATAAGGGTGACATAGCTTTCGACCTGGTGAATAGAAGGCTTTTCGTCGCAGTGACTAAAACCTACCCGGCTACCAATCTGCACGTACACGCGGAGACCACTCCATTTATCGCGCAACGCGGCTTAATGGTACGCGATACATCAATTTACTTGTACCTATGATGCAAAGTACTTTGTACATAACATCAGAAATCTGTCTACAGGGAGAGCTGAGCATTGTCCCGGATCTCAGCGGAAAGATATATACGGAAGTAGCAGGAGTTGCATCTTTGAACATCTGGTTCAAAGCAGACACGAAGCTCCGACCAACGATGCTTTCCACGTTTTCTACAGCTTGACAAAGTAATACACAAACGCGCTTAAGAAGCGCCCTCTGAAGATAGCCGAAGTGACTGAGATTAAGTTAACGCAACCAGAGGTTTGTAAACAAAGGATGCTATGGCAATCGCTCACTTTGCCCTGGCCGTAACGGAAATCCATACGCATGAGACATTGATGATGACCGTGTGTGCTTACACTTCTCGATTGAGCCATGTTTCATGAATATGTCAGTGAACTGTAAGGCTCGCACTATCTGATCTGATAGATCTGACTTTCACCCGAATAATATGAGCTATTTCAGTCTCATTTGCTTCAGCATTCATTAGCTTGTGCTTCCGTTTATCAACTTTATAATCGTACTTGCCTGATGTGATTTGCCGAGAAGAGACCTCTTTGAAACCGCCTTTTTCAAACCACGATAGGACGCTACACCCGGATGGCAAACTAGTGCTGAAGCACGTCAGAGACGCACCATCACTAATGCGAGTGCGATGACACCGAGGTTAAGATGTTAGGTAATCCGCATGCAGCAGAAGGTAGCGTGAAAATAAGAATAATCAAAGAAACATGTCAGCCGTCAGCGCGGATAAAAGTAGACAACCGATAGACGACACCTACAGTATTTTGTAATTCTACACAACATAGAAGTCCCAAAGACAAACAATGATAGAATTCTGCAATGGCAAGAAGAGTATAAGTGTTTTGTAGGTGACAAAGAGCATGTGAGATAGCCTCGAACAAAACACTAAATCAATAACCTGTTTTCCAACAGACGGTGGACGGTACCCACTGCCAAACGAGGAAGTCTGTGGTGTTGTATGGGTTAAAGCTTGTCGAATATAGCCAAGACATACGTTCCGATGCAATGCGTAAGCGACCGTGTAGTAAGTGACGCACTTTGTCCCACCAACCCAACCGGGGAGACGTGTCCAGTGGAGTGGGCAATATATCCTCCAACCGCTGGCCAAGCCATGCTACAGTGGGTTCCCAGCTGGAACCGTAGCACAAATGGAGACTTTTGACATCTACGTGAAAAGGAAGATGTCGTAGAAAACAAACAAATTAGTGCTAGAAGGGCAAGGGAGAATGAGCATAGGTGGATAACGCCGAAAAGAATGAAGTGTAGGCTTGAAGCCCACGAATGGACACCAGAGTTCTGAGAGAAATAGAGTGGAGGCACAGTCCATCTATTTGTAGTTAGGCAAACTAACCGAAAAGTGATGACAAAAACACAACTTAAGTGACTTAAAACGTTTAAATGGACGCCCATCATGACAGTCAGGTAGGTGGATTCGACAAAATATCTAAGCGTTTAGGCCAACCAAATCAAGTAATCGGTCACAGAAGCTGAAAGCAGAAAATGTGACGGTGCTGGATCGTTTCTGTGAATAGGACCGATGAGGCAAAGGTAGACAGGAGGCCAAGCAAGCGTCATCCACTCAGGCCGATAACTATCACATGGGACGAGGGAGAATGATCGCGGTTGGACTGTTAGCTGAGCTTGGCAATTTTGTTGCAAACGTTTCGTCATCAATCGAGGTGACATCATCAGTGGGTAGTTGATTGGCGCGCTGTAGCGTAGCGACAAAATTGCCAAGGCAATCTCACGCAGACTCCTCTACGAAGCTCGCCTCAGTTGGAGCGTCTCAACTCCCTGGTTGAGGTCCGAAAGACGATGAACACGTTTGGCTGGATACACTTGCTGATATGGCTAGGAGCCGACCTCAGTGGCGTTCGTGCTGTGAGTTTCTTTGTCCCATCCCATCACTCTTAGCCTCTCCCTCCAACCACGATCTCATTATTTAGCATTTTATAATTTCGCATAGTAAATTTTTTTTGCTGCTGCATGGCAGCACGCAGGTAGCTTACCGGAACGATGCTCAGCCGTTACTGGTAGTTCAGCTGGCTTGTACCCGTTGCATTTTATCCCATTTTCTTCTAGGTATTGGGGCACAGTAGCTAAGATGTTTCCCACCTCTAGTTAACGTGTATAGTATCTGTGCCTCCATGCCACATTGCGCTACTGCACGCCAGTCAACTACGCACTGATGATATCACCTTGATTGGTGACGAAACGCAGGCAACAAAAGTGCCAAACTCATCGAACAGTTCAACCGCTAACTGAAGTAGTGATCTCCGCACCAAAACACCTAACTAATTCAGATAAGTCCGTTTGCCTTCTGTTATCGTATCTTGCTCCCTGCGAGAGGCGCGTATTTCGGACTGTTTGTTACCGAATAGTAGCCGTTAATTTTTTGAATTTATCAATTCCATAGAGGGGGTCGGCTTATTAAAAGGTAACATGCAATTGGAAAAGTCACATGAAAAATCCACCCAGAATTTTAGTGCACACCTCTGACCGTCTCCGTTTAGCACCACCAGCTGTGCCCTGACTCCACTTTTCCCATTGTGTTAACTTATCTCCATTTCTGGAAACGGCTTTTCTGCCGCGTGTTGCCTTCTCGCCTACAGGCATTAATAACAATTCTAACTTTTCTTTTGCTATTCTCTTTTGCTTTTCATTTACGGTGAAATTCCCTTCAGCCATTAAATTATTAGATTGCTCGGGGAACGTGGCTACTTTCAGTTTTAGACCAGGAGCATATGCGCATCTTTACTGCAGAGACATTTTTCGTTTCCACTTTGTGGAAGATCGTACGAAATGAAAGCACGTTCCATCTCAGCTGGATCATGTGACATCGCGTTAGTACTATTCTGGATAATGAATCAGAAGCACGTATACCTTACGGTCACCACAACTGACCAATTGTAGCGCATGTTTCGCTTGGACACACTCAAGTGAGACCAGGTATTGATGAAGCAACATTTTCGTTTCTCTTTTTCCTGATTTTTCTGCAGGTCTTGTAATATAGGGACTTCCGACTATGGGAAAATTTGATATTACAAATTATACACTCGGCCTATCTCTGGACGGGCTTATATTCGGTTAGATACGCTATTTGATTTTGGTAGTTCGTAATGGAGACAGTTCTCAGTTTAACGGTTTGCCATTGAAATGTCATCTTGTCTGCTCACGCACTATTTAAACTTATTGTTATATAACCATTTTACCTATGTTTCGAACCGAATTGTTCCATGTGCCGGTTATTTCTATGTTTTTTTTTCACGAAGGCGGTTTACTTGTTGATGAAATAGAAAGAAAAAAAGTAAGTATTAAGTTGGTGTTGATACTTCAGTTGTCGACTTTGGCAGCGCTTCAATGTTTCACTAGTACGCAGTATTACAAATATTTCGAACCACACTAATCCACGTGCTGATTACTTTTTTCACCTTAATCATTATTACTTTCCTTCCTATACTATCTAAACGAAAGTAACGGTTCACAACTGCCGTCCATGCTAGTACCTTGTTGAAAAGAATTCCATGGTGAAAGATGCAGTGGAAAATGAATTACATTTGGTTTTGTACATCAGACCTGTACTTCCAATCTGAATTTTCGTTGAGCCATAGGATCGGATTAGTTTACTAGATTCCCGCCTCATTGAGAAAACAGTCCAATTATAAGGTGAAAGTCAAGAGATAAATTAACACAATCGTCAGAGTTGAAGAAAATATAAATCTTAACCTGCAGTGAAATCGTAGAAAAACTTGAGGGGCCAATCGTTCCGGATTAGCGTCTGGGTAGGCCAAGGATCTCCCGGCATCACGTTCACTGTGTGCTGACCTATGAGAGTAAAATAAATTACGTATGAAATAATAAATTTCATTCATAATTCCAAACAATCATAGCTGGAAATATGAGACGATTGCGAATATATATCCCTTGCTTCCCATCATCGCGCCATCCCAATTTCACTTTTATCTCACCTGTTTTCAACCCCAAATCCTTGACTTCTCACATCTACCTTCAATATGCGTTTGTTTTCTAAGTCCAACCCACACGCAATCAGAGGGCGTTGCTCCGGTCCAATCGGCAAACCAATGTTCAACCAAGCGGACAAAATAAGTTCATCCGTATCTTTTTGGAACCCTCGACGCTACTTAAGTCCGGCACGCCTCAATGTGAGCACTTCTCACCAGATTAGCCAAAGAGATACACTTACCCGAACACTAGAGACGATATCGTTTGGTACCTGCTGCATGTTGGAAACTGGCCTGCAAGCTCTGTGCTTACCCTGCGACCCCCCACATGCGACACTTTCTCACTAGGCCCATCTGTAGATGACGCAGCTTCCAATGCCGATCAAACCGGTGGGGGGGGGGGTGTTTTGGGCCCTCGGACTGAATGATAGCTGGGCCAGCACATCGAGTCCAGCGACGTGTTTTTCTGTGCAATCAGGTTCTGGTCAAGGGCTGTGAAGACTCTCACTTCGAACATGATGTCTGTTGATATGATGATGAGCGGACCCGAATAGCAGTCGTGTTTTGGGTTTTATTTAGCACTAGTAAATGGTTCGTATTTTGCTTGGTCACGAATCTTACGTTTGTATTGCGGCACAATGACTGAGGCGTTTCTCATCTGCAACTGAGGTAAATGTTTGGTGGAGAAGAGGCGGACACCACTGCATCAGTTATCAGCGCAAGGAAGCCAAACGGCAATGAGCCAACAGCAGACCACAATAACTCTACGAAAAGAAAGGAACACTTGGGAACCGCAGAAGTATGCGCGCGAGGAATGTACACATAAGCAATGCAAGCCACAAAACAACTAGACACAGACGCAACGCGCGCCATGCAACCTCCAACAGAGAGTGCGCAGATGAGTGGAAGTTTCTTTGGTCATAACCGATGCATCTGATCATGCCGTTTAACATAAGAAATAACTGTCCGCACATTGGTGTCGTGACTAACAAAGGTAGACCATGAAGATCTCCTGAACGGAGCAGTTAGAAGAAGCGGATGTGAGGACCTTCTTGGAGGAATTAGAGGGTGCAGCCGAGGTAGATGGAGTCAAGACTGAACGAGCGAAGCTGGTGGCTGTGCAGAGTCTTCTCAATAGCAGAGTGAATGCGATCCTGGAGGCGGCTCGAAGGAGCCCTGACAAGACGGAGTGTGGTGCCGCAAAGCAGGAGTTGATTTCCGGAATGGACAACCCAGTCAATCGTCAGAAGGCTATGGGGCGGTACAAGACGACACGGCGTGGTGAAGGGTTTGATCCCATGGAGTTTGTGGTACACAATGGGAGCTTGTTGGACCGTGCCTTACAGGGAATGGACGTAGTGACAAAAGAGCAATTACTGGCGGATCAGTTCATGACCTGTCTCCACCAGCTAATCGCCTAACGCGTCCGGATTGTAAAAGCTACTCGGGGAATACGGCTGAAGGAGTGGGCGCAGGTGACTCGAGAGTTGGGCGACGCGCTACCTGCTGCACTGTGGAGCGCCTGGATAAACTAGAACGGGTGATTGAACAGCACCTGCAAGACAAGATGGGCTTCATATATAGCACTCAGGGGAGCGAACAAGAAGATGTAGCTTCCTTTGCCGGAAACCAGGATACCGGGAAATACAATGTCAACTGAGGCGTGATGTTGCCCGCGTACCAAATAAAAACATTCAACCTTTTTCTTCTCGGAACGGGGTGCTGGATAGGAGATGGGGCGATCGAGGTGATAGTGGAAGTAAACGGAAGGATGGAACGGATGGCTGGACTGCCGAACAACCGACTCGTAGTGCCAGCTGGGTGGTACGCGATTATCTCGGTCCACCGAATGGTTCGGCGGCAGTGTTCCAGGACGTGGTGGGTTTTCGCCTTGCAAGCGTTCTCCCTATAAAAAGCCACATGTATCCGTTTAACAACACTCGACGAGACGGATGTGACTCGCCACTAAATAAAGTCACTGCCCCTTGTTTCACCTTGTTGAAGCATTGTATCTCAGCACCTTGCTGCTTAAATCGTGGGGAACATTGGGTCCCTGTTTTGCAACTCACCAAACGAAAGGCATATGAACTGAGCAATCAGTCATCGGCTCCCAATGGATGCGAATCCCTGACTACGCTATGCTGCTTTGCGAGTGGGCTATTGAGCCAAAGGCTCGGGGTGGAGTCCCTAAGACAATTCCCCACTTTGGCTTGGGCAACCGGGTAGTATCGTGCCCTCTGTGAAAACCATGGATTTCGCACCTACTACTACGTCACTTACTTCTGCTACTACTTTCCCTGCTACTGGTGGTTCTCCATCACACGCCAACTTTTGTTGATAATCTACAATCTGTTGAATCTACTTCCAATGTCCATTTCGCTGGTATCCACATCATCCGGCCATCAGCTATCATTCGACCCCGTAATTCATGCTGTCTGACAGCGTTCAATGTTCGGACCCTCCAACAGATTGCACAACAGGCTGGTATGGCGCGCACTCTAGAGTCCCTCGCCATCGATGTTTGTTGCCTTTCAGAGACTCGATTGCAGGATCCCATCACCGTGGTTAAGTTGTCGTCCCTTGCTGCTCTTGAAACCACCTAATATCTACGTCTGTCTAGTGACATGGAGGCAGCAACAGCCGGCCTAGCTGGTGTCGGTATCGCATTGAGTGACAAAGCGGAGGCTGCATTACTCGACTGGTTTTCAATCGACAGCCGGCTGTGTGCGGTTCGGCTTCAAGGCACATGTAGAATCAACAGACATCGTGATGAGAGACGCAATTTGTTTGTCGTTTCTGCCTACGCTCCAACCGATTGTAGCTGTGCATCGGTTAAGGATGACTTTTATCGTGGAATCCACAATCTTTTGAACAAGGTCGAAAAGTCAGATGTCATCGTCCTTGCCGGAGATCTCAATGCACTAATAGGTCGCCTGCTTCCGGGCGAACGTCATCTTGGTGGCAGTCACGCGCATGATGAGAGCCGTTCTGACAACGATGATAGACTTCTTACGTTATGCGAATACCACCGTCTCTTTATCACAACTACGAACTTTGAGCCTAGAGGAAGAGGTGCAGCCACTTGGCGTCCTCCTTCACCAACACAAGCGTGGTCACAACTGGGTCACATTGCAATCAGCTTTAGTTGGTCAGGCAGCCTTCGGGGTTGTAGTTCGATTTAGTTTACGTACCTCTATTCAGATCATGCTTTGGTCTGCGCGAACATCTGCATGCGCTTCGGCGGCTCCTCAAAGCGAAAACTGCATAAGCACAACACCAACGTTAGCTGACCTCTCTGCACAATCAACTTATTAATCCTCCTTATCGCATGCATTCATTTGTGCTCCACCTCGAGACACTGAAAATCATTGGAGTTTCTTGCGTGAAGCGATGCTAACTTCCAGTCATTCAATCTGCAGAATTACAGGGCGCCCTCTGAGGGGCTAGATTTCCACACACTTACCAGAACTGTTTGATCGTCGTAGAGCTATCCCGACCGATTCCAATAGGAGGGCATTGCGTCGCATTCTCAGCCAACAAATTAAGCAAAGCCTGCGAATGGATTGCGAAACTTGGTGGTCCCAATGCGCTTCAGAGATGGAAACGGCAGCCATCTCTGGAAACTCCCGCAAGCCCTTCCAGATCATTCGGGCTACTGGTCACAAAAGATCTAGTGTCAGTGAGGTCAACTGCGAAGTTGACGGAATGCCGATCAGCAACTTACACAGGCGAGTGGCCCGCTGGGCTAAACACTTCACATTCAATTCAGCTGACCTCCTCCGTCGGCGAGCCTTATGAGTATACCCAGTTGCGTGCCTTGGAGCGTCGCATTAGAACCACCCAATGAAGCTGAGGTCTGCCTTGGGCTCCGACACTTGAAGTGATTCAAGTTTGCTTCCTCCAGAGCTGTTCAACTTCGGGGGCGAAGTAATTGTCATGCAGCTAACAGCTCTGTTCTTTAAGATCTGGTGTGAAGAAACAGTCCCAGCCGATTGGAGCGAATCAATCATCACCTCGGTCATCAAGAAAGTTTCCCGTACCCTATGCGCTAACCACCGAGGAATCAGTCTAATGTACGTTGCCACAAAGCTGTCAACATCCATTCTACTCCGTAGACAAACCTCTATTCCAGAAATGCGCTCCCGTGAAGAACAGGCTGGTTTCCGCCCCCGGTCCAGGGTGTGTAGACCAATTGTTTACGCTTCGCCAACTCCTTGAAACCAGTCATCTTTACCGACAGCCCACTACCGTTGTTTTTCTGGACATCCGAACCATTTTAGACTCCGTCGATCGGTTGGCTTTATGGCGTTGCATATAAAAGAATAGAGTACCCGAAAAGTATATCGCCATCCTTCGAGCATTATATTGAAATGTCTCAGGTAAAGTGAGGGCTTATGCTAAGCTCTCTTCACATTTTGCCGTCACTAGCGGTGTACGACGGGGTTGTCCCATGTCCCCGTTTCTCTCCTATTTTGGGATTGAGGATGTCCTTTTAAACGCTCTCGAGGGCTTTCAGGCAACCGCGTGACCGATTCAGATTATGCTGATGAAATTGCCTTGCTTGGTGATGACGCACAGAGCACACAAGCCGTTCTAAACCGCTTGGTGATTGTAGCATCAAAATATAGAATGACATTTGCCCCCTACGAAATGCAAAGCCCTGGTCCTGCATTGGCATCCACCCACCCCAGTGCTCACTCTTCAAGATACGCAACTTGAACAAGTGGACAACTTTGTTTACCTGAAAAGCTGTCTCTGCTGATGGTAGCATTGGAAAAGAGATTTCTCTCCGCATTGCCAAAGCTCGTTCGGCATTCGTCAACTTGAGGAATTTGCGGCGACGCCGTGACGTTACACTATTGG